TTGAACAATTTCTTTGCTACACGTTTCCCCCCTCCCGGCTCTTCCTCGCACTTCTCCAGCAGCATTGTCAAGGTAACCGGGCAGCTTGCAACGAGTCGCTGAGTGACATTTCTGCCTTGACTGCTGGCACAAACTGTTACGATTTCAGTACAACCATAGCAACATGACTGGAATGCCAGTTATTCACAGCCACCAGAGGGGAAAAAAGAAGAAAAAAAAAAAAAAAAAAAGGACGAATCTCTTCTCCAAGCGATGCTGCACCCCTCCCCGGCCTTGCTTTTCTCCCCATGCAGCAGGTGGGCACAGCAACAACGCTTCTCCAGGGTCCTTGTTGAAAGAAAACAGCCACTGTTTGTCCGCAAGAGCGGTATTTTGCTAGTGGGATTCAAGAAAACACGTAGAGGATGGGGCAAGGGAAAGGGAAGATTTCTTTCCACCGGATTTCCTACATTGGTTCCTACGTGAAGACGAGCTTTCGCACTTTAGTGGTTTCTGGGGCCGCGTCTGGTACTGGGGGGATCGGGCTGGCCCCCCTCTTCTAGGGCCACTCTGGGCATTGCATCCCTGCAACGCCTCAGCCTCAGCTGACGGGGTAAAGATTAAACAGGGACACAGCGGAGAAGGACGACAGCAGCTCCGGCACACTGGAAGGGATGTGAAGGAATGAAAATAAGGAGGCACTCTGATAGGGGCTTTTAAGTGAGCCAGGAAAAAGAAGTCCAGAAAACAGAGCCCTGCCTGGAGACCAATCCAGACCAAGCAGGGAGTAATCTCAGACCAAATATAGCCTGCGCTGCAGATAAGGGCACTCGGGCTCCGCTGCTTACGACGACGGGGTTCGTTATGCTGGGCTGGGGAATGCCTCCAAGCTCATTACAGACAACTGCTTGCACACACGCGTTTCCCCACGTCTTGCTAATACCCTTTCCCCTACGCGGAAGGGCTTCGGGACCGCAGCAGCGGCACCAAAGTTACACAGTTGGCAGCGCAGAAGCACCGAATCCGTGCAATTGCTCCTTGGTTCTGCCCCGTTGCCGTGCCAGCTATCAGGAAACGCTGCTGTTAACGGCTGCAACTTTCCTATTATTGCGAGCTCCTGTTTTCACATACCCCAGACCATCTTCACAAAGATGAATTTTTTTTTTTTTTTAAACTGAAAACATCAGCGCTAACAAGCCCACAAATAAAAGGGAAAAAAAGTCATTTGTCTTGTCAGTTTAGGGAAAATGGAACTTCTTAAATCAGGGAAAAGAACGAGCGCTTTTAAGACAAACACACAAAATAATTTTCAGCTCCACATCAGCTTCACACAGAAAATGATTTGTATTATTGCAGTACCACCAGGGCTCCACTGAAAGCCATTGTACAAATATCTAGTAAGAGACAGACAGTACCTTCCTTTCTCCCCTCCAAAAAGAGCTCGACTGTCTGAACAGACAAAGGACAAGAAAGAAAGGCAGAAAGGCAGAGGCAAAACGCGCTCAGGCAAAGTCACCCCACAGGTCACTGCCATGGCTGATCGGGGTGGCATCACTGCACAGCCCACGTGCATCCCCGCTGCACCCAGACCAGGGCACAGTTCCCCTCTGCCCAAGCACCTCTAGCTGTACCTTTTAAAGCCTACAGCAAAAGACACACCACTGCTGCACTGTGGCATTATCTCTCTGAGAGTATCTCTAAAAGCTTCCAAGCTTTGGGGCTGAAGAGGTGGGAATCTACCCAGAAGGTATTCCAGCACCCTTACTGGTGGGTCACACGCTTCAGTCGCTGGGTGAGCTCAGAGCAGGACCATGCTCAAGTTGCTATTCCCTGGCCCCTTCCTAAACCTCCGGCTCGGTTTGCATGGACCACGGCAGCACCCGTCGGCAGCTCATGGTGCTCAAGCGTGGAAGCGCTCCGGAGGGGTGGGCCGGCAGCACAAGCAAAGGGCAGGAGCTGCAGCTATCTTCCCCACGTCTGGCAGAGTTGTGGGGCACGGGCTGGTGTGTGCACATCACTACCAGCTATTTCAGTTTCAGGCCTGCAGCACGCACACGTTGATGGCTCTTACTCTCTTCTATGTCCTCCCTATCCTCCCTGCTATGAGAGGGGGGGGAAAAAAAGAGCTTACTTTTATTTTAAAACAGGCAAGCTTTCTGACAGCGGTGTAGG